ACAGTGTTCTGTCTGCATGTATGCCTGCAGGCCAGAAGAGGGCACCAGATCTCACTACAGATCGTCATGAGTCACCATGTGGTTGCTGGAAATTGAACTCATGACCTCTGGAAGAACAAGCAGTGCTCTTAATCCCTGAGCCATCTCCCACACAGGAGCAAACCTTTTATGAACATAACCTTTGGTCATAACAAACCAACGTGTGAGACAATAAGGTAACCACTTGGTACTTCCAAGTCTTTGCATACTGTGTCACTGTAAAGGAAGACATCACTGAAATACACATGTGGTCTCTTCTGCTGTTGTGTGACAGCCAGCAAGTTCAGATATGAGAAAATAGAGAAACAGTACATGTTATATGAACAAAAGAAATGATAAAAACTATGTGTTCTCTACCTTATTGCCCTTTGGTTAGTCCTCTCGGACAACCACCTCCTAATTCAGATAGAATTAGTTTTTGATTCAAGCATCTTAGTGGTTCTTCCGAAGCCAAGGAAAAGGAGCCAGACAAACATACCATACCTTGTCCAGGGCATACATGGCAAACACGGGGCCATCATGAGCTTTCACTGTCTTCAGTAGTAGAACATCCTTCCAGATAAAAATGTCTCCAGTGGCTGCCCCTGAGAACACTAGATCTTCCATTCGCCCATAAGAAACACACATCATGGTTTCCAATTTTCCAGCACTTCCAAAGATTCCTCTTTTGGAGGTGAAGCCCCCACCTGGAGCAGAACAAGGCTATATATTACCCTAGAAAGTTGGAGCTTCCTCAGAGCACATAGAAGGATCATCTTGAGTGAAAAAAAAAAAAACTGTCTACAGTATGTGTCAAAGTAACAAAACAACAAGGGTATTGTGAGGATGCTTAGCCACACTGTCAGGATCTACAGGATTCCCGTCTGTCAGATGTAGTGCTCAAAGCCAGCATATAATACAAGGACAGAGTTCCTGTTTTAAGGAACCCAGATCTGGTTAGATGGAGGATTTAATATGCCTTCTAATCCGACAAACACATAACCTAAGTGTAAGTTCTCCTTCCTGTGCCTGCTGAAGGACACAGTGACTCAGGGCTCAGGGAGCAAGGGAAGCCTCAATGAAACTGAATTAAAGAATGAAGCCAGACCGGTAGTATGTGTAAAATGTAATTGTGTATGTTCGGCCTCAATTTTTTTTTTCATGGTGATTCTGGGGTAAGAAGGAACTATTTGTTGTATAGTAGAGATAATATACAGGAACAAATCATTAGATTTGTGCCCTAGGTTTTCCCATTTCCTATACTCTCTGACTGCCACTGATAACCCAGCTCCATTGAAGACATTCACATCTAGCTGGCTTGTACCACTGTCCTTCCTTTAAAAGAGGAAAGCATCAGAGTAGCAGCCCCACACCCCCTCATTGTACTATTGGGCTCAGTACTAACAATTCAGATACAATTGTAACAGTGCCTACAAGTGAGGAGTCGGCTGTTTCCATGTTTATCCATGTTTATTCCTCGCTCTTGTCAACATATATTTTAACAAATACTTATTTTGACCACCTTCTATGTACAGAGTTATATGCCAAAATTGGCAATGTATTAATAAAAGAATCCTCAAAATATTGAAAACATTATTCACTCAACCAAAGTAATTGCTTCCTACTCAGCACTACAACATAATTACTGCTTTCAGTTCAGATGACTAAATATAAAAATCATTATTTTCACAGCAGAGTATTTTCAAAAGCTTTCTAGACACTGATGAATATGCATAGCATCATATAGGGTTTTAAGTTTCACATTTTATGCAATAATTAATCCAATGCAAAATTAGGAGAGAGTATTTATCAAGCAAATTTTAATTTCAGTTTGCAGAGAGACTGGCCACATAATGGCAATAGAACCCCTCATCCCAAGACAAGGGTACAGCTCTCAGCTACATAAAAGAGAAACCCAAATAACAATACCTGCTTGTTGCCAGAATTTGATATGCTTAATCCCAACTGTAACCAGCTTGTCAACATGGTGTGGATTACACTTTACCACAAATATTTTATCTTTATGTCCTCTGTAAGAGACAAACAAGGAAAAATAACCTCTAGTTTAGATGAAAGCACTGATTTTAAAAACATATTTGGCTTAGTTTTCACTAAGTGTATCTAACAGGATAAACAAACAACCAAGAAAATATTTAAAACACACAGGAGTCTACTATAAAATAATAGCATGGGGGTGAGTACATGTTTGGGCCTCCTCTCTTTCCTTACCCTAATATCCCCACCTTTGTCTACTTAAATGTATCCGAAAATCTCTATAAGATAAAATTAATGACACCACCATAGGGTTGCATGTAATTCTGAGATAGTGAGATCTTGGGCAGGAGAAACAGAAGGAATGACATTAATGAAAAGCTTCAAATGGACATTTTGGCTGGAAATATATTCACTATAAATTGAGTGCCCTGGATCACCAGCCATTGAGAGAGAAAGGATGTTATCTACTGATTCAGAACACTTAAGTTTATTTCCCGGCAAGATGTGTCCACCGGTGTAATAGTAGCATGGCTGTTATGGAGGTAACCAACCACTATATATGTAAGAATGACTCCACAGGAGGGAATGCATGCATGTCTTGTGCTGTAAACCTGGTCAAAAGCCTGTGGCTGGGGAGGCCTCAGGCCATAATGGGGAAGCTCCTGATGTTTTGCTAAATGGGCATGATGTATCCTGTCAAAATGTTTTTTGAATATTTTGTTTATGCTTATATTTTAGTGCTACTCTCAGCTTGGGTCAGAGAATTTTTGTAGTTGGTGGACGTGATTGCAGAGGTTCATAACTGGTCAAAATGCTGAGAAAAAGTGACTGTTGAATACAAGCCCTATCCGGAACATCTATATCACCCTCCCAAGGCTCAGGAAACACTGAAAGAGAAGGGTGGGAAACAGTGTATAAGAGCTGCAAGAAGGGGTGCTGTGCAACACTGTCTTTCAGGCGCTCCTGAATTCTCAGCATCTGTGACTACCTGCATGAGGCCTACAGAGGAAAGGGCCCATCGACATTCCATCATGGAGGTGGGGGTAGGTAAGAGGCCCTGGCCCTTTGTGCATTTATAGGCAGCTAATGATTGCTGGGAGAGAGAGAGACATCTTCAGTCTTGTAAATAATCCCTCATGTATGCTGCTGTGAGTTACCCTAATACACACACACACACACACCATGAAATCAGAAGTTGACTAGTTGAGAGGAGAACAAGAGAGGATAACGGGGAATAAATAGAATCAAAACACATTATCTGCATGTATGGAAAGTTATATAAACCCATTATTATGTAAATTAATGTGCTACTACAATGCTTAAAAATAAAGTAGGTATACCAGTAATTCTTTCTTTCTTTCTTTCTTTCTTTCTTTCTTTCTTTCTTTCTTTTTTTGGTTTTTCGAGACAGGTTTTCTCTGTGTAGCTTTGGAGCCTATCCTAGCACTCGCTCTGTAGACCTGGCTGGCCTCGAACTCACAGAGATCAGCCTGCCTCTGCCTCCAGAGTGCTAGGATTAAAGGCATGCACCACCATCGCCTGGCCCAGTAATTTATTTTTAAAATTAAAAGAAATTTAGTTTTGTAACCAGACAGACTAACATCCTCTAAAAATTCCATTTGTAAACAGGTGGCTGAAAGCATTCATGAAATTAGCAATGGTACAAATACATCCAAACAGAGAGGCTCAGATCTCAGTGGAGATCTTATGAAACCCCATTTGGTATTTTGAATGCCTCTATTTCCCTGGGCTGATAATGAGCAGATTCACATAAACACCTTAATAAATGAAGGACGATCCCAAGAGTGCAGTTTGGTGCCTGTGTTACATGTGGACGCTGGCTATCTCACCAATCCATTATACCCCATCCCCAAGGGGTCGTTCTCAAGCCAGTTAACCACAGTGCTGTAGGCTACTGTGCTGCCAGACAGGTTGCCACAAGCAGGATCATGGTTAGGCTCTGTTCAGAGCGAGGCTGGCAATGGCTGAGATTCCAGAGGGCAGAGTTAGGGGCACGGAGCCCCTCTGCAGGGATTCCGCAGAAGCTAAGAGGAGTATGGAAGTCAGGATGGGGCCACTTCATACATACAGCATGACTTCTGTCACCTGGCTTTAGATACTTATCTACCACAGCATCTCATTTTAAGGCTACACTACAGTTTTTCAAACTTAACTGGTTGGTTATTTACATATTTGTGCAAATAGCATTAATACTATGTAAATATTTACGTTTATTCATTATTTTAAAAATATAGTATTCTCCCATAGAGTTTTACTGAAATCTGCCCTACTTGGGAAAAAGTATTGACTAATGCCATCATTACAAAAAAAATGCTATTAGAGGGCAATCCTTTCTACAGGTTTCCCATATTTAGAATGGGACATTGTATTGGGGAAAAATTATGAACAAAAAATGTGTTACTAATATGATGACATTAACTTGCTTTGTGCTAATTAAACAGAAGTGATCCTATGTACTCCTTCTATTTCTCATAGTGTCTCTGACACACAATTGTGAGTCCCCCACTGCTTCAGAGGGGATCCTTAAGTTTCAATGCTAACATAGACTTTTCTGGAGATAATGTGTAAATGCACAGAATACCTTATCAGGAATACTATATCAAAATTCGGTTTTTAGTCTGGGAGGAAAACAGCCTAGAGGGGAGTGGGGCTAGAGTGAGGGGCACCAGAAAGAAAGAGGAGAAAAGAAAGCATGCGTGCAGGTGGAGCTATGGGTGTCACTGCTGCCAAGAATTCCATTTTGACAGCCCCTGCAAAGCAACGTCTCTTCTTCTACGGTCAGCTGCAGCCCTCAAGGCTCCAGCTGCCGCAATCTGTAGCTCTTCATTTGTTACTATCAACTGCCAAAAGCTTTTGTTTCCATGTAACGCTGGAGTAGACAGTATTAATTTAAAAAGCAAATATTACAGTTCAAGGTCATTAACTTTGCTGTTGTGGCACAGACAGGATGTAATGTAGGTCATAACTAACGGAGAGGGTATGAAACTGTGCCTGGACAACAAGCTGCCTTCCTGGACTATGGCTGCCAAGTGTTGACCTCTAACCAGGCCATGCACATGGCTGGGTGGATGAGAGTAGACTGTCGTGTTCAGACTTAGTGCTGAGGAGGCAGAAAGAGAAGCTGGGGTGAGGGAGGACAGGTGGGCTATAAACAGCAGTTGGTCTTGAGAGTCTATTTATAGGGTGTGGAGATTAGGGAAACAATTTGCCTGCTTTGAAAGCAAGTGGCAGATGCACCCAATAGTGCCCCCTTTCCAACAGGCCATCACCTAGTGACAAATGGTGCTTCTGACTCCAATGACATTGACAATCTTTCCCAGCCACTAAGACAGAAAAACAAGACTCGAGGCACACACTTTTCTGCTGCTGGAAAAAGCTTTCTTAGAGATAATGGAAGTATTACAGAAAGGTTGTGGATGAAACGCTGTCTGGGGAGCATTCTAGAGTTTTCTTATTTACCATCAGGCATTAATGCTGAACATCAGGCTTGGCACCATGAAAAGAATTGATATGTGTTCACTTAGGTATTAAGTTTCCATGGGAATTTCATCTGAGTTTGAAGATTGAGTGCCAAACAAAAACTGGAAATTGTTGAGCTTCACTGACGTGAGCTACCAGCCATGTGCCCTGTGATTCCTTACCTGGTCGTAGCTATCTTTTCTCCCTTTTTCCAGTCCCAAAACACAACACTGTGAAAATCATCTAAACCAACGGACACCAGGCATTTTCCATCAGCTGTATGAAAACAAAACAAATGTCAAACAAGCCATTTCTTTGTGAGAAACCGAAACAGTTCCTATACTGCAAAGAGGAGCAGGAAATTCAACAGTACTCTTTATGCTCAAATACATTTGAAACAGAGTAAAACGCATGACCAACAATAGTCCAGTTTCAAACAACAGGGCCTCTCAAGGAAGCAACATGAGCCTTGTTCATCCTGTGACAGACAACTCCTATGAAGGGCATCGTTTGGTTTTGTGATTCTGGGGCTATTTTCAACTCAAAAACATCAAGAAAGCCTAACCTTGGTCTAGCTGTCAAGTTAAAAACATTATAGCAATAAAATGTAGCTTCAAACATTCTTATAGAAGATGACCTTCCAATTAAAAGTTCTTGATTGCTTATTTTCCCAGTTCAAATGAAATGTGCTCATTATAAACATTTAGAAAATATGTGTGGAGAAAAGTTTAAGCTGGGGAAGTGGCTTGCCTGACAAGAGTGGCCCTGAGTTTGAGCCCAAGAATTATACACATACAAATTACTAACTGTACACACATATGCAAGCATACATACGCACATACACACCCCATTCTTTCAAATTTCATGTAGTCCTACCCCTGATGTAAGCCTACTTGTCTTTTTCAAAACATACATCTGTACTTGGAACTTTCTTTGGGCCGCCAACCAGCTCCCAAGTGAAAACATGGAGGAGGCAGGAAAGCAGGAGGGACAGTACGTAGATGAGGTAAAAGAGGCTCAGGGTAGCACACAGATTCATAGAAATGGGTTCATTTGCCAGGAGGTGGTGGCACACGCCTTTAATCCCAGCACTCAGGAGGCAGAGCAGCTGGGTCTCTGTGAATTTGAGGCCAGCCTGGTCTACAGATCGAGTTCCAGGACAGTCAGGGCTACATAGAGAAAGAAACCCTGTCTCGAAAAACAAAGACAAACAAACAAAAGAAATGGCTTCATTTAAGAAAAAAAAAAAAAAAAGCTAGCTAGAAATGAGCCTAAGCGAAGGCTAAGCATTCATAATTAGTAAGTTTTCATGTCATGATTTGGGAGCTGTTGGTTCAAGAAAGCCTGCTACATGAATCTCTTTTGAAACAAAAGCAAGGTCACACTGACCAAGCCATCAGCTAATATTTTCTCACCTATTGTAATACACTATTTTTTATTAATAATACTATTGTAATAACTTTATTATAAAATATTTATACTATTATCAACTATTGCTACAATTTTGACAGTTAGGCTATTTTTTTAAAGTTCTAGTGAAAGTACAATTAAATTTGAAATGAATATAGTTAATGTGCATTTTCCCTTCAAGATGGAAGAGGAGGCATGATCAATAAGCACTTCCTTTAGCCTCCTTGCAAGGCTGGGTTCTAAGGAGCAGTGAGGCAGGGCCAGTGCCCCTTCCTCCCAGGATCTCCTGTCCTTCCACAAAGGGCCATCATTAAGGTAAAGAACCAGGATGTGAGAAACAGCTTCCTTGGGTTGACTCATCCATCCAAGCTGTCAACTCTTTACTTTCAAAGGCAGGCCAGGGATAGACCCCAAACTAGGGTAAAGTATAGGAAGCCTTATCAAACTGGAATTTCACAGAAGTAATGAAAAATTTTTTATTTGTCTCATGTAGTCTCTGAATGGGCACTGCATATTTATATTGATGTTACACAGAACTTATGTCAAATAAGTTCTTATTAGAAATTCAAATCTACTTGAACATCCTGCATTTTTACAGGCTAAATCTTTGGCTACCCAACTTCAAGTGCCAACCCATGTCCAAACTTTGAGTGGCCTCACTTGTGCGGAGACCCCCTAGCTAAAAGGAAATGATGGTCTCTGCCACTGTCCAGCGGAAGAAGAGGAAGGGAAACAGACTCTGGCTTAACAAAGCAGATCTTCCCAGTCCTCATCCACCAGGCCCTTGGGAGGCTATGATTTAAAGATTACCCGAACCTTCTCAAATTGAAAGTTGAGTTCATCACATGAAGGCATTAACAATGAGTTAAAAGAGTCAGTTGCCATTAAGTGAGCACAGTGAGTTTATGATTGGTGTCCTTATTCCTAAAGGACACCGAGTTAGATGGCCTCTCAGCATTGTGGAGTGGGAGCTCCATTACTTCTTCCTACTTAAATTTTGGTATGACCTGTCTGTATCTACACTGCTTAACTTCACTTGTTTGGTGATTTTTGGTGTTTTTTTTTTCTCTTCCTTTAAGATCATACATTCTTTCAAGGCTTGTAATAAGCAGATTACATTTTAAAACCCTACACTGAGCTGTTTTGGGTACATGCTGGTAGTGCTGGTGATGAGGATGGGGATGACAAGGATGAGATGAGCCTATGGGTAGTACAAATGGCAAGGAACTGTGGTGTTATATGACTATTTTAAACAACATCATTCCTTTTGAAAACACTGCACAAGTAAGTATCTTCTTTCTGCATTAGCTCGTTCTAAGGCGCATGCTGTCTCCCGAATGCTGTCTTAACATGTCAATATGACCTTGGTGTGTGCGTGTCTGTCCATCTAAAATGTCAATTTTAAATTTTTCTGACTTCTGAAGCATCATATGTAAGCAGATTGATTTTTGTGGGGAAGTTCTGGGGTTTCTTTTTAGAATTTCTGTGAGGTTATCTACCATCTACCCCAACAAAAGCTTACTTTTCTGGGGTAGGGAGTTTTCTTGGGTTCTACAGGTATTAGCAATTTCTATGAAATGCACTATCTAGAAATAAAATTGGAGCCTTCTTATTATTTCCTAGCTTCCATTTTTCCCTGCAGAGTCTTGGCTTTACCTTTGAAAGTCTATTGTTTCCAACCATTGTGGATTTTCTTTTGTTGTTGTTGTTTTTATTTTTATAGTCTAGGTGATATTCTTTTCAGTCTTTCTAGGCACAGCATGTATTAGTTATGGATGGTTGTGACAGTCTAGAAATAGTTCCAAGGCAGTTAATGTCAACAGTGAAGGGCAAATTAGAAAAAGAAAAAATATTCAGACAATTACAAGTTGGTCATCCTATTCAGGTCTCCTCAGTGGGCAGGGATATCCAGCCAGCTTTATGTGCTCTAGAGTCAACATCATTGTATAGCGGCCTTTAAACACCATGCAGCTGACATTTAAGATAGAAAATATTTATGAAGCTGAACTTTTCCTAATTGGCTTTTTTTTTTGGGGGGGGGGATTTTTCTCCCTGTAGCTTTGGAGCCTATCCTGGCACTCGCTCTGGAGACCAGGCTGGGCTCGAACTCACAGAGATCTGCCTGCCTCTGCCTCCCGAGTGCTGGGATTAAAGGTGTGTGCCACCAACGCCTGGCCCTAACTAGCTTTTCTATGCCATGTGGAAGTACTTTCATGACACTGCCACAAAACAAAAATGGTCCTCCATGCTCCCTAGAAGTGATAAGTAGCAGCTAAAGGGTTGGTGACAGGGCTCAGTCAGTAAAGGTGCTTGCCACCAAACCTGGCAACCCAAGTTTGATTCTGGGACCCCTACAGTGGAAGGAGAGAACTAACTCTTCAAGATTGTCCTTTGACTTCCACATATATGCCATGGCATAAACACACAGACACATATAAATAAATCTAATTTTAAAACTGCTGCCCAGTTGAATGAGAAAGTATAAATTCACTCATTGCCCATGTCTAAAGAATTATCTTTGTTTCCCTTTGAACAGTGGCGAGAACAGATTAATTCATTCCCCATTGTGTAACTGTATGAGCTGCCTTGTTTTCACACTGGCCTGCTTTATATGCCCAAGTGTGGTAGACTATATTAATTTTTTAAGGTGTGTTACTTTTGCTTATGCTGCATTTGTTTAATTATGTCAAGCTGTGTTACTGTGCCTGCCACGACACTTAAAGGTCTAATAAAGAGCCAATAGCAAGGAAGGAACAAGGATAGGCGGGACTGGCAGGCAGAGAGTACAAATAGAAGGAGAAACAAGAAAGGGAAGAGCAAGAGAACAAGGAGAGGAGGACATCAGGGTCCAGCTACCCAGCCAGCCATGCAGTAAGACTGAAAGTAAGATATACAGAAATAGAGAAAGATAAAAGCCCAGAGGCAAAAGGTAGCTGGGATAATTTAAGATAAGAAAAGCTGGCAAGAAACAAGCCAAGCTAAGGCTGGGCATTCATAACTAAGAACACGCCTCTGTGTGTGATTTACTTGGGAGCTGCATAGCAGACACCTCAAAAAAGCCAAAAGAGAAAAAAAAAATGTAAAAGAGTAAAAGAGTAAAAAAAAAAAAAATCCACAAGGAGCTGAACCAGGTGACTGTTGGGGGTTCTGAGGCATATAGCTGGGGCCACAGCAAACACACAGGAAGCCACAGGGGGGCCCACCAGAGTCGCTGCACCAGCGAAAAGCAGGGCCAGGACTAAAGACAGAGAAGGGGCGAATTTCCAGATCTCTTGCCGGTTGGCACACTCAGACTGAGAACCGGGAGACCTGGGTTTTCGTGGACCTGCAACTACTGACCTCAACATTGCCTCAACAAAGTATCTCAGTTCTCCACCAAGGAAGTGGAACAGAGGGGTAGTCAACAGTTACATTGTTAAACCCTGTTGGATCCACAGAATTAAACCAAAAAGTACTCCCTATTTGGACCACAGGGGGCAATCAACTTCGATGAATCACTCATAATAGATCCAGGGAAGAAGGTTCCTGAACAGTCTTTAGGCGCTTTCTAAAACCATCAACTCCATTCCTTTCTAGCCACTTAAATACCAACACTATATTTTAATCTCACAGACAAAACACAATTTCCCAGGGTTCTTCCTTAGTGATTGTTATCTGGGAAATGGGGACTGTATTGTTAAACTAAAACTGCTCTTCACAAGCAGAACTACCTCACCCCAAGAACTCATAAAACAAGTTGTCTTGGAAACACAAAGCAGGCTAATGTGAAGACAAGAAAACATATGTGCAGTTATCCAAAAGGGGCTAAATTCATCTATTCTTGCCACTGTTCTAAAGGAAACAAAGACATCTCTTTAAACATGGGTAGGGGATGAAGATCATGGGTAGGAGACAGAATCATGCTCCCTACCCACTCCTAGGGTGGCTGATTTCCTCACCACATGATGGGACTTGGATGATTATTAAATTCCAGTTGTAATACTGTTTCCTTTCATATGCCAATACACATTACATACACTCGTAGAAATTGGTGATAGACATTATCTTTATTTTTATGTTCAATTTGCAGGATTAATAGTTCACATGGTTGATATTTTAAAGTATAGTTTTTTGAGCACTTCAAGATTTCTTGCTACAATTATTGAATCAATTTTCAATGTCACCAAAACCACAGATATATTGAATTCTCGTCATCCCACACACTTGTAGATTTTATTATTTTTATTTCACTATTTTAACAAGTGTCTTGCTAGTCCTCTAGAGCATAGTTATTTGTGTTTCCTCCTTGGCAATCAGTGTGGATGTTTCTCAAAAAGAAAAGCTAGAAGTAGATCTACCAGCTAGGCCCCTTCTTTGTACCCAAAGAGCTCTAAGTCATTCCATCGCAGAGATGCCTGCACATCGTGTTCCTGCAGCAATATGCACAGCAGCTCTGGGACCAGTCTAGGTGTCCACATGGGTAAGAAAACTGTAGTTTATAAATGCCTTGGGATTGTTTGCAGGAATAATGAAGAATGAAGTCATGTCTTCAGGAAAATGGATGCAACTGGAGATGATAATATTTAGCAAATTAAACCAGCCTCAAAAAGGTCCTCACCTGGTCCTCTCCTTTGAGGTTCTTAGGTTTTATAGACATATTCACGTATTTGCATATTGTTATATATAATATATACATACCCATGTATGTATGTATATATTAAATGGAAGCTGAAGTGAAATTTAGGGGAACAAAGAGGATAATGAGAGAGGGACCTAAAAGGGGAGGATGGGGAATGGGACTGGGAGTATATGTTCAACATATTATATATATAATACACACACACACACATACATATATATAGTATATGTATGTGTATATATGTATGTATATATATATGTGTGTGTGTGTATGTGAGAAAAATTTAAAATAGTGTCTTAAAATTATTACAAAGCAATATCAATATATGCTTATGTAGCTGTAGATAAAATAAATTTTAAGACAAAGGTGGTTCATCTTTTTAGTGGGCTATGGGTTAAAAACTAAAAATGAGATTCACTGGAGCCTTTGGGATAGTCATATAGGAACTAATGTTTTACTTTCTTTTAGATCTTGCTACTTAGTCAAGAACATAGGGTACACAATTTAAAACTGCATACAGCAAACTTCCTGAAGCCTAAGGCTTTGCATGTGCTGTGTATTGCGATGTAATCTTAGCAGACAGCTCGCAGGTACACTGTTGAGAACTCTCTCCCTCAGTATGCATGCCTCCTCCTGCCACTCAGGCCTACCAGCTTAAAAGAAAACTGTTGGCCCTTGTTCTCCTAACTCAGCAGCCACGGGAGCTAATGGAAAACTTTTAGTAATGTCATAGCAACTCACATTTGTATAGGTTGTGAGGATCTGAAAGTTTAATAAAAGAAAATACTACCTTATCTTACAATTGCTAAGAAAATAGACAATTATCTCCCAAACATGATTTGCAATGTTAAGTTGTAACAGTAACACTGAGAAGCAGGATAAAGACCATTAAGCAAAACTTCATGTGTTCATTCATCCATAATATTCTTTAAAGTAAATTCTCTGTCCACAGCACAATATGTATTATGGGAGCAGAGAGATGGGTGCTCCTGAACACCCTAGTTTACTGTTTGTGCAGGATACAGAGACGCAACAACACATGGCCCCTGACTGGTTCCGAAAAAGCTCTCAACAGTGAGCTGCAGGAAGCAGAAGAGGCTGTTTTTTTTTTTTTTTTTTTTTTTTTTTTTTTTTGTTTTTTTTTTTTTTTTTTTTTTTTTTTGCTTTATGGGATGGAGGAAAACACTCAGTCTTGCTCCTTAAGACTTGGGAACCCTGAACAGAGCACATGAACAGAAAGAAAAAGAAGCACACTGTAGCTAGAGGTGCAGAAAGCATGAAGGTACTAGTGGGTGAGATGCTGCCAAGAAAAGCTAATGTCATTAACTTCCATCCAAAGACACAGCCCTAAGTCAGTCCACCAAGAGGGATCCACAGTGAAGATGGTAACTATCTTCCAGAAGACTCTAGAAGTGAGTAAGATGGAATGAGGTCAGCATTAATGCATTTCCCCTTTACAAAAAAGCCCAGCAACCACTAACTGTCTAATCCAAGTCCACTCACTCTCATTCTTTCCCTTGCCCTCTTTCCTCCTTTATCTTCCACTTGATTTTTCTCTGTTTGTTGTGGTACTGATGCTGGCTCTGCTCTATCAGTGAGGTATAGCCCCAGCCGCATTAAAGTAGCATGCCCAGGTGAAAGGGAAAGGGAGGGGGAGAGACCACAGGAAGAGACTGTGGAGTCTTAGAATTTAGTTACCAATATTGCATATTTGAAACACCTGAATGCTATTTAGACAATTATACAATCAAATTTATTTCTAAAGGTTAGGATTTGTTTTTATATTGACCCAATTTCTACAATGAAATGTTTAAAAGTTTCTAGGTAGCAACATCTGTAATAGACTTTCTTTTAAAAATTATTTCTTTATTGTATATGTGTGCATGCTTGGCACCTGTGAAGGCCAAAAATGGGTGTTGGATCCTCTGGAACTGGAGTTTTAGACACTTGTGAGCTGCCATCCAGGTGCTGGGAATTGAACCTGGGTCCTCCTAAATAACAGCTAGTGTTCTTAACCACTGAGCCATCTCTCCAGCCCCTGTAACAGAATTCCACTATATAATTCTAGCTTCAAGTGAACTTACTCTAAAGACTGCAGCATCTACCAATAGGACTTTTATGGTGCTGAGTTCGTACTTTAATTTGGAAATTCTTCTTTCCAAATATAAAATTTTATAAAGTGGTCCCCTGTAGGTCTGTAGCTCTCTCTAGCTACTTAACTTAGAAGTAATATGGTACTATTTATTTGGAGATAAACCTGTGGAACTGATCTTTTGTTGTCTGAGACATGGTCCCATGCTGTATCCCAGGCTGGCCTGGAACTCGAGGTGTAGTGCACACTCGCCTCCAACGTCTGGCAAGCCTTTCCTGCCTCAGCCTCACAGTGGTTGTGATTACAAGAGTCACCCATATTGGATATTCTTCATCATCACTGGACAGGTGCAGCTAAGACTTTCCACAGCAGCAGCTGCTCTTGATTGCACTCACTCAAGCAGACTTAGAACAATGTGAACTCCAGGTGCTGGCCTGGAGAGAACTGAAAGCTACATGGAAGGATTCGTAATCTGTCTCTCAGTGAGGTACTCACATATGGTCTCCAGTCTCAGGATGGGAGGTGACTGCAAAGAACTTATCTTGTTACAATCAGAACTCAATCAAGTAAGAGGATTTTTTAAAAATTAGCCACAGACCCATATTCTGTGACACTAGTGAGAGCTTACCTGAAAAATCCAGTGCACACACTCCTCTCTGATGGTGCCCTTTCAATAGTGACAAACATTTTAGAGTTTGTGCATCCCACACATGGATAGCAGCATCTCTTCCAACCTGCATTGACAGGATAATGCTGTTAACTAGGCATTCATGGTAATAAGGATAGCCTGGCCTCTTAGGGTCAAGTACAGCTCAGAAATAAGGCAACATACATAATTTGTAAGTTAGGAAGACAACTGGAAACAATCTGGTCCAGTCCAGTCTTTTCCTGATGAAGAGACAGGCTTGAAGCTTCAAAGAAGCACACTGTGAGTTGGGTTTTGGCAGATTCTTGCCCAGTACATAGCTCCCTGTTAAGGGATTTTTGAGGCCAGCACTTTAAATGTGCACTTTGCTGTCTTTCTGTCATAACCTTTACCTCTGTGTCCCACCCCTGCCTCCTCAATGTTTTCAGACCCTTCAGTTTCATGCCTTATGTTTATTCCTACCAAATACATTGTTTCTAGTCTAGGTAAACTGGATTAGAAGTTAACTGCCCTTTCTCTTTTGCTAAGCTCTGGTCACACACACCTGTCCCGTGGCCACATAGTCCTTCACGGGATGGACGGTCAGGCTGAGGATGTCATCGTCGTGCCCCAGGTATAGCCTCTGAGAGTGCTGTTGCCTGTTGTACACCACCGCAACTGCCGCAATGTGGTACACCACTTCTCCTGCCTGTGTGTAGAACAGGTTGTTCCTACAGTCGTAGCCCCTGTAACTGAAGCGCAGTGGGTCGAAGAACAGCACACAAATGAAGCACGGGTTGTTGAGGCAAAGCAATTGTGTTGATGTGAACTGTGTATGAGGCACATGGAGACTGATTATTTTCACAGATCTGCTTCCAGACCTTCAACCAGTGTCTATGTTCTTTGCTAAAAGCAATTCTGTGTAGGGAGTAACAGTGCACAATTTCAGTTGGGAGGTAGATGTAGAAAAATCAGAAGGTTATCCCCATCTACATATAATAGGTTAAAGGCTAGCCTGGGCTACAAGAGACTCTGTTTCAAAACAGACCAACAAAGCAATCCAAGTCTTCTTCTGACAGGTCTAGACTAAGGCTCAGGCTTCCTTTCCCATCTTCCATCTAGTCCTTTGGGGGTACAATACCTTTGGGGTGCCAAAGCAAGACAATTCCAAACACAACTGAATAATTTTAATTTCTTGATACAGAGTCTCACTGTGTAGTTCTGTTTGTCCTAACTCACTATATAGACCAGGCTGGCCTCAAATTTACAGAGATCTACCTGCCTCTGCCTCCTGAGTAAGTGCTGGGATGAAAGGTGTGCCCTACCACATCTGGTGAATAATTCTTAATTATTGGCTAATGCATAATTTTGTAAATCAAGTACTGATTTTTTGTTTAACAAAATTAAATAGACACCTTATTGAATAATAATAGACAAATTAGCACTTTTGTGATAACAAAATCAAAATGTTATTTTTAGCCTGACATACAGGAAGAGTTTAGAGAATTGAAAAATACTAATATTGTTGTCTTTCCTATTTATTTGTGAGAATTAACTCAATGCTTTCATCTTTTTAAAAAAAGCTGAAAATGGGCTTTGACTCATCCTAAACTCTGCCACATTCTATCCATAAATAACATATAGACAGCTGTCTGAAATGACAGCTGGGGGACTCGGTTCAGCCAATGTTTGCTGTCTAAGCATGTGTCCCTCAGTTTGGATTCCCAGCAGCCATGGAAGAAGCAATGTTCCTTGGTCAGGGCTCACTGTTTGAACCCTAGCCCTGCACTACAGACAAGCAGATTCCTGGAAGCTATCGCCAGACAGAGTAGCCAGGAGGTAACCTTCAGGTTCAGGAAAAGACTGCCTCAAAAAATAACGTGGAGCAGCATTCTTAACCTGTGGATTTTCACCATTTTGGTAAACCTCTATCTCCAAAAATATTTACCTTACAATTCATAATTAGCAAAATTACAGTCATGAAATAGCAATGAAGTCATTTTATGGCTGGGGGTCACCATGACATGAGGAACTGTATAAAGGTTCCCAGCCTTAGGAAGGCTGAGAACTGCTGACATGGAGGGTGGCTGGAGAACACAACTGATGTTGATCTCTAATGCCCCACACACACACACACACACACACACACACACACACACGAGCATGCACACACGCATTCATGAATGCTTGAGAGCATATGCACACACACATGAATGGATTCATGACAGCACACACAAACACACACATGCACACACTCACGCACACACACAAGTACACACATGCACATGAACATGTACACAAACATGCACACACACCTTGCACACACATGAACACACATGCATGAATGCATGAGAGCATGTGAACACACACATGCATGGATTCATGAAAGCACACACACACACACATGCACGGGTGTACACACACAAATGCATGGGAGCACACAAACACACACACACACACACATACCACCAACTTATGAAAACAGTGTTCAAATAAAGTTTTCTGTGATAAACAATTAAATACATTAATATGTAGTATTAATATTGATTTGGTCAGTTTTTCCAGTAACTGAATTTTCAAAATGAACAGTACTATTATCTAACAGAAATATGTGAGCCAAATAGGTAACAACATTTTCTTGTTGCACAGTGTTCAGCTGGAATCCCTGCTTGACCCTGAACAAGCTGACAAGCCCTGTCTGACCTACTTCTACCAACCCCACATACACTGAGAAAATTCTGAACAAAGGAATGGTGCCAAAAGACCAGTTCCACATTTCTGGCAACTGGTGTAACCGTCTTTCTGTCGTGACCAGCTCACCCAGGTGCCTACCCAGAGGCTTAGCTTTTGACTATCCTTGGGCACAGTCCCAGCTCCTGGCTGGGCCATCATCACCCCTTGCCTAAGGTCTATAAAACCTCCCTGCCTTAACCTGGGTAGGGGACTTCTCTAGCCCCATTCTTTGGGACTGGTGAACCCACCCAAGAACAAAACCCAATAATCCTGCATTTATCTGTTTTTAATCAGGTCTGGCCTGGCCTTTTGTGTCCCCAGATGCATTTCACACAGCTAAGACAGGAGGATTCTACAAGTATGAGGCTAGCCTGGGCTACAGAGTAAAACTTTGTCTCTAAAAAAATCAACCTATTTTTAAGAACTTTTAACTCAACACATTTAAATCAGCATATCAACATATAAAAATATTTTAATAAGATAGTCTAAGCTTTTTTTCTGCTACTTCTTTAAAATTGAAGTTTATTTTACAGACTCAAAACATCTCATTTCAGATGCTGTCTTAGAATTTTCATTTTATAGCTTACTTAGTATTTGCACTCACAGGTGTGTGCACACATTTACATGAGTGTACTGTTAGCATGTATGTGTTCTACTGTGCACTAGTTTCCATGCTTAGACATCATTGCCTTATAGCTGTTACAATGCAGTGTCTGCAGACTCTCAAACATATACTAAGGTAAATTTTTCCCTCTACGGTACAATTTTATGATAGAATTATAATGGTTATAAAAGTTTACATAAAATGTGAATGGGGGAAAATTCATGATAGAAATAGTTGTTCTTGTATTTTAAAAGTTGACAATACAGGAATCAAGCTTGGCATTTGGGTTCTATTGGCTACATTTAAATGTCTGACACATTTATAATATACTAGATATGTTTATATTTTTCTCAACAGTTTAAGCTGACAATGCAAATAACTAGATGTCAATTTGATATATATATATATGTACATATATATGTATATATACATTATACGTATGTATACACACATATATAATTTTACAATGGGCATATGCACACAAATCTGAAGAAATCACTATCCTGGAGTGGATCTAGGAAAACAGAGCTGAGGATTGGAGGACTAGAGAATGCAGACAACAGTGGTGACACAGACACTGCTGCTATAGCGTGGACACACACAGGAAGCATGCCAGGTCCAGAACTGTGAGGGCCACAGCACCAACCAGGAAAGCTGGACAGAATCAGCTGAGATGTCACTGCAGGGGGAGCACCCTGGAGAGGGGAGCATTTAAAACAGGGATCTCTCTGTCCTGGTAGTGAGAGTGACCGATGACAAGTTTGTCAGAGGCAGAGGAAGGCCACTACCATGTATGAACAACTCAGGGTCCCCAGGGCAGGCCACCTACCCATGTATAAACTGGAGTTTGAGGCTGTCCTCTGGTGCCTTCTCCCGCTTGAGGAAGAACACAGCATGGTTTTTCTCTTTGCTTTGTTGCTTTAGCTGAGGTAGATCTTCTTTGTAAACCTTTAAGCACAATAGGAAAGTTTAGCCAACATCCCCTCCTCAGGCTGCTAAACAGTGTCTTGGCATTGCAGAGAGACCACATATCACTTCAATGAAATGTGGGTTTCATGTAGCATAGGTTCAATATTCCTTTCCCTAATGGAACCAAATTACCAAAAAAAAAAAAAAAAATCTTTCAAATACTGAGATTTAAAAAATTTCCTCTCCTCCCTTGAATTGCTTTCTTAGGTAATTATATCCAGAAGATAAGTGAAGTTGATGTTCCAGTAAATAAGAAAGAAAAGGAATTATTAACTAAATATACTTTTCTTCCAGAAGGTAAGAAATCTCTGATGTTTGTAAGATTGGGGCTTCCTGAGCCGTTCTCCTGGAATTGTTCTTTGGGCCTCCGTCCTTCCTGGCCTCATGAATTTGGATGATCTGAGTCTGATATTCTATTGGTCCAATCCAAAACTCAAAGTCTGCTGCCGAAGAAATACTTGATACAGTTTAAATGTGCATAAAATTAATCTGTTATTTACCGTTTACATTTTATTCTCAAAAACCACTTCAACACATTTGGAAAAAAAAAAACCACAATCTATTAGTAATTTCTCATATTCAGGAAAGAAAATTTTCATTTTGAAGTAGAATAAGATAAAAAAGACCAATTATTAGATACCCACTTATTTATTGACTGCCTATTTGTCAAGCAGGACTTTACTTGCTACCTAGAACAGAATGGCCTGGACGAATAGCTGAAGCCATTGGCCAATGCCTTTAACAGCCTGCTGACTACCACTCAAGTTTCTGTAAATTCTCACTGGCTTGCCCACCCTGGCGTGTGCTTTTAGGGTATAAATAAGAATACAAACTAGGCCCAATATCCGAGCCCATCAGGAGTTGTCCTGGTTCCCCTCCACTGGTGACATCTCCATTACTCCACTCTCACTAGTGTTGGTGTGCTTATTCCAGAAAGATTCCCATAACATTTTGATAAACTATATTACTAAAAGATCAGGAAATAAAGCTATAATGAAGTTTCCTTTTAGGACCTGGCCAAAGGCATCAGAAAAGAAGTCAGAAGGTTTTTTTGTTTGTTTGTTTGTTTTCTGTTTTAGATATATATAACACTTCTCAGTCTAGAGATAATTATTCATCTGAAACCACGATTCTTTTCTGGGGCATTTCGACTGCTTTGATGAACATATATTATAGCATCATGGGCCTCAATCTGTAGAACAGAATAAAAATCTCTACTCAGGAATAACTTGGGAATATTGTAAACCTATATATTTAGAGGCACTGAAAAATAAGTCACAGATAATAAGAAAGCTCAAGGCCTGGCTGTCAATGGTCATGCCTTGCCACTGCTTCCTAGCACCACAAAATAAAAGTTCCCCAACTAAACAAAATGACAGACTCTCCCAGATCTTTTTTGCTTAAGTTTCATTATCCCTGGGTGTATTGCTTAGTGTTATAGTTTCCTTCCAAATCCCTTTTAGTGCTTGTACTGCATAACACATTTGTCAGTACACAGTGAAAGTAATCTAATTATGAGGTTGATCTGAACTCTTGGCTGCACTGTCTTTGTAGTAAATTAAGAAGAAATGACTACAGGAAGAAGAGCAGTAAATCCAGTGCTTATATGGAGTTACATCAGAAGTCCATGGACAGAAGTCCAGGTCAGCATTATCTTAAAACAGTAGGTACATGGGAAGGGACAAGTCACTTCTGCCACATGAAGACAGCTGCTGTGTGGGAGCTGCCATAGGCTTGTCTGTTATGTTTCCCTGGATGACACTGACAGTTATGTATCTGGGATCTCATGTCTTATTCACTCCACATTCATATGCAGAATTTGCTTCACACACATATAAACATGTTACTTATACAAAGACAGGGGAGAAAATTGAACCTCTGAAGCTATCACTGTGACATGCTACTGTGTCAAGATTCCTTGTAAGCACTGCTTTAACTGTCCCTGCTCTCTACTAAAAAGCTGTTAACTTTTGTGGGGGAAAACTGGATGTGATTTGCCAACTTTTGTGCTAGAAGTATGTTCTTATTGGATAGAGAATACACATTGGAATTAGGTTTACTCTAAATAAACAGGTAATATCTATCAAATTGAGCAAGAAATGAGGATAACCACTCACACACAGGCTACCATTCTTGGAGGGTACCCATCCTAAAAATGTACAGTTTTATGATTTGCTAAGGAAATAAGAAAAACTTGTACTTTACATGTATTTTTCTTTGCAAAATAATCATGTAAGTTGTAGAATATTACTTTAAGATGTGTTTATGCTACTAAATATTTGTTTAATGATGCAACGATGTGTTGAATTCTTTTATGTTGCATTTGCTTAACTTTGGGAAGCTGTGTTACTTTGCCTGTCTAAAATACCTGATTGGTCTAAGAAAGAGCTGAACAGCCAATAGCTAGGTGGGAGAAAGGATAGGCAAGGTTGCTAGGCAGAGAGAATAAATAGGAGGAAAAAGCAGGGAGGAGAAAGACTGGAAGAGAGCCAGCCACCCAGCCACCCAGCCAGACATGGAATAAGAAGGAAAGAAAAGATATACAGAAATAAAGAAAGGTAAAAGCCTGGGGGCAAAAGGTAGACAGGACAATTTAAGTTAAGAAAATCTGGCAAAAAAACAAGCCAAGCTAAGGCTGGGCATTCATAAGAAAGAATAAGCCTCCATGTGATTTATTTGGGAGTTGGGTAGTGGGCCCCCCAAGAGCTTAAAAGTAAAAAAACAACCAACTACATGGAAATATGTATATAGTAAAGCTTTATATGATGGAAAAATCAAAAAGCTCAAATGCTCAGAATTGAGCTTGAAAACTTAGCAACTCCCTTCCATTTAATTAAAAAATTAATATGTAAAAGTGTTTTGCCAGCATGCGTCTGCACCACTTGCATGCCTGGTACCTGAAGAGGCTGGCAAAGGACACTGGATCACCTGGAACTGAAGTTACAGATGGCTGTGAGTCACTGTGTAAGTGCTGGGAATTGAACCTAGGTCCTGTGGAAGAGTAGCCAGTGCTCTAAGTACTGAGCATCTCTCTAGCCTCTCACTTAATATTTAATGGTATAAGTGCTTTATTTTTAACCTACATTTAAGGGCAAGATATGGACATTTTTCTTCTGCCTAAGCTCCATCAATTTTTCAGGGCAATGCTAAAATCAAAGTAGTTTCAGGCTTTTGTGCTCTGTATACTTACCTGACGATCATAATTGATCTGAGCTTCCTGCTCGATATCAGAGTCCAATTCTGGTACATCAGACAAATCCGAATCAGATTCTTCACTGTAGGAATCAGTGCCACCTTCTGTAGAGACAGAACCCATCAGAGGCAAGGAAAATGATGAGGTGCTAATGATGGGAAGGACATTTCAAGTAGCTTCCATCCCAGCAAAGTAAAGTAATGGCTCTGCCATAGATTTGACTTTAACACAGGCCTGGAGACCACTAAGCAGTCAGGGATGACCTTGAACTCCAGAGCCTAGCCCCACTGTTTAAGAGCTGGCATTGTAGGCATGTGTCATCATACCTGGTTCCCTTTTTTTCTTTTTAATTAGATAGTAGGAGTTCTAGATTTTTAAATCATACTTTGTAAAATAAAAAAGTGTAGGATTTACTAAAGAGAAAGGTGGGGCTAAAAAACTTTAAGCACTTACTACCATTCAGTTCTTCTTTAAGTTTTAAACGTATCCACCAGGCATTAGAAACAGCCATGGTCATGTCCCTACAGAATCATACTATTAAACACATCGGCTTGCTTCACTATTTATTCTATTGCCTGCTTATCCATATGGATACCTCAAACAGATGTAAATAAAAGCCTATACACCCATTGGTGTAGATCATCTGGGCCCACATTGTAGAACATTGTCTCAATCCCTTCTTTGCACCCTAAAGTTGTCTATCCCCTCACACACACACTGAGCAGGCCCATTGCTTCAGGCTCCCCAAGATCTGACAAGCATGCTTTCATCTTGTCGTCAAAAGTCACTTTTTTAGTGTGAACCTCCAGGCACAGTTGAGCTTTGTATAAGCAAGACCCTTCAAAGAAGATCACTTACCAACCTATATTAATCTCCAAGGCTTTTCCTTTTTCTTTACATTTGTTTTATGTGATTGAGTGTTTTGCCTGTGTGTATGTATGTGAGCCACCATGTGGGTGCTGGGACCTGAATCCTGGTCCTCTGCAAGAACAAGTGCTTATACCCACTGAGCCAACTCTCTGTCCCCTCAGAAGGTTTTCTTTATATTAAAAACATGATTATATAAATTGATTTTTGAAAACCACCTTAGCTGTTCAGCTCCAGAATAGATATTAGGAATATTCCTTAAAATGATTACTGAAAAATAAAGACACTGGGAAGTTAGGACTGTTATTTACCCTGGGGTGTGGTTTCCAGCATGCCATTGCTGACAGCGTCTGGAATAAACCTCCACTGAAAGACCGAGTGATCTGCTCCTCCTGTGCTTAACACCCACTGGAAATCATGGGACCAGCGGACGTTCGTGACATGGGCAGAGTGTCCCACATACTTTCTAAACTTGGCTCCTGAAATAGAATTTTCAGATTATGTTTTTTAAAGAGTATTAATTAAAAAGTAATTACATTCCTATCCACATCAAGTAAAGTTTTTCAATATATCAGAAACATATTTTCAGTCTTACATATTACAACAATCAAATGCCACAAGAGAACTCAAATTATTCCATTATGCATTAATCTGAAGATGTGTCTTTCAAATTCAAGCTCTACAGCTAAAGGCTTAGTTAAGCCTGCTCTAACTAATGCTTACTACTTCAGGGCTTCTAAAAACAAATGCAAGTATTAACATCTTACCCATTCTTAACTTAAATGCAAGATAAAGCAGACAGCCTCTATAAATTAAATAAAATATCCCTCCTACATCTCTGTAGATCCTAAAATGGGGGGCTATCCTTTTCCATCCACAGAGGCCACTTAACCCATCTCTTCAGTACGTTATGAAGATGGCCAAGAATAAATAAAACAAATAAAAATTAATAGAACTCACCAGGCAGTGGTGGCACACACCTTGAGTCCTAGCACTTGGGAGGCAGAAACAAGTGGATCTCTGTGAGTTTGAGGCCAGCCTGGTCTACAAAGTGAGTTCCAGATGACCAGTACTGTTACATAGAGAAAACCTGTCTCAAAATTGGAACAAAACAAAACAACAACAAAAATCAAACAAACATTAGTAGATTCAAATACAAGTAGCAAAGTGAAAGTGTGCGACATCAGAGAAGAGGAAGAGGCCTTGGTGTCTTTCTTGAGCCATGCCATATCCTAAGGACACTCAAGCAGTCTTTGGAGGGTCTCCAGCTGACAGTCCCATCTGCAAGTCTCATCCTAGCCTCCAGATGACTGTAACTTACAAGGGAACTTGAATTAGAATCACTCAGTAGGGTGCTTATTAATTCCCTGCACTTGTATCTACCTGAACCTCATCCTCTGCCTCCACAAAAGCCTGTGAGATCATTTCCCATATAAGCTTCTAAATATGGAGGTGGAGCTACCCTGCAGGATTAGCAGTTTATACACCCTTAGGCTGGAACCGTCATCACTGACAATTAAGCCCCTCTCCTTACTGCTTTAACCCCATTTTCCACCCTCTGTCCCTTGCTTACTCTGCTTCAGACACACTGGACCCATTGCAGTTCTTTAAGCATGCCAAAGTGTTCTCTGCCTCCAACTCTTGTATTTGCTGTTGTTTCTTTGAATACTCTTTCTGGGATATCCGCATGCCTGGTCCTCTTTTCCTGCAGGTGTCTAGTCATGAAACCACAACAGGGGGCCCTCCTTTGCTCACATTAATAGAAACAATAACACTCTGATGCTATGCCCAACGTCTTCTCCCAAAGCTTTCCTCAGGATAGGCAGTGACTAGACGATATTTCCCTTTGGATATTTGTCCACAGGGTTTGGGCGATTAGCCCTCATCTCTTCTCTACTGACCTCTTCTCTAGCTTAAAAAATCTTTCCATGTGCCTGTGGGTACCATTGCTAACCTTGAGCACTCTCTGGAGGGACAATGTCATGTCTGTTTGGATGTCTAATGGGCACCTCAAAACTTGGATGAGTTACTGAAAGGCTCCCCTGCCACCCCCAAACCTTCCTCTGGACAACAAGCGCTTTTCCTTCTCTCATTTCCCATCTCTCAGAACACTGCCTCATTCTACCTCATTATTCAAGCCTGAAACCCAGGAGACATTCTCAATAGCTCTGTTTTTTTTTTTTTTTGCTCCCCCTATTCCCATATCCAATTTAGCAACAAAACTTTCAGCTTTATCTAAATCAATTGTCTCTTTAGGGCCCTATTCTAGCCACAGCATCTTGCAGATGGATGCTTAAAATCCATCTTGATGGTATCAAAGTAATCTTTCAGAGACTTAAAGTGGTCATGTCACTTCCCAATTTATAATACTATGCCACTGCATATAACATGAGGCCCAAGTGTGGGGCAGTCACACACAGAATGCGATCTATATGGCACCAGAAGAAAAAATTGTCATTAGTGATTCCAAAGGATTTAAAAACTATCAAAATGAGAAACAAATTACTCAGGCTATGCAAAAATATCGATTCAGCACTTGTCTTTAACTGTAGGGTACTTCCATCTAATTTTTCCACAAAAGAATGTGTGTGTGTGTGTGTGTGTGTGTGTGTGTGTGCAATTCCAAGTGTGTCACATTAGCTTCATTGTGAGCTGTTTGCTCACAATAGAAAACTATAAAGCTTTCTCAGTCTCCCTCGCTATTTGCTTATAGTCATCAGTCTCCTCGTGCTTGTATTTCTTAGGCTCAACACTTAGAATCATTTGAAAATAGTTTCCTGGTTTATAAAAAGTAAAGTTTTATTAATTTTTATTCCTACCAAGATTCCCACATAGTTTCATTAACTTTTTTCTCCGAAGTAGCTTTGGCACAAAAACCTAAAGGTCATGGGCAAAATTGCAAGCTTTATAGACTGCATGTTGTGCAAGGTAGAATTGGGTTTGCTCTGGAGACTTTGACACTTCAGCAAATGGCTGAGGAGGAGGTCACTACTCCCATCATATGTCACTCTGCTGTCTACCTGTCCTCATTCATTCAGTTGCCCTCCTGTGCCTACCCACAGGGTTATTTTTCATACATGGGCATCTAATTTTAACAGCACTATTCATAACACCACCCTGGTTCTGATAATGGATCCTCACACCCATCTCTATTCTGAAGACCTGAGACCACTCATAAGGTCTGGAGATACATAGAGGACACCAACTTTCATGAAGTTCATGTTATTTGGATCCTGACACGAGGCCAATAAGTTTCCTCTGAGGTCATGTGTTATGATAAATCTTTCCGTCTAAGCCGCCGAGCTCCACCACCACGTGTACGCTTTATGCCAGCCGCCCACCCGAGTTAGGGCCCAAATTAATGCACAGAGAGACTTGTATTAGGTACAATGCTGCTTGGCCAATGACCAGGATAGCTGGCTGTTAGCTCAGTCTTAATTATCATAAATCTATATATTTTATAAGACTTATCTTATCGGACACCTTATTGACATCCCTCCTTGCCGGTGGATCACATTGCGCTGCTGGAGTGGGGAAAAGGGACCACTTCGTGTTTCTCCTTGCTAAATATGAGTCTCCTTGCTATGTCACTTCCGGCCTGGATCACCACTTCTCTACTACATTTTCCAGAATCCTCTTTGACTCCTAGTCCTGTCTAACTTGCTGTCTCATTGGCCAAACAGAACTTTATTAAATAATCAATAAGATAAACATACACAGAAGTACTTTCCCCATCATCTCCTCTTTTCTGTGTAAATAAAAAGAAAGATAACTTATCTTTTATAATAACTGAAGAAAACTATAACCATAACTATCTGTCTTCAACTCCATCAAAGACCAGAATGGTGTCAGTGAGTGGGATGACCCTATGCCCCAAGGTTCCCAGAGGAAGAGGGAAACCTGCCACTACAGCCTGCCCTTTTGGGCCACTGAGAGGCATGGGAGCAGCTTCCATATGCTCGCGCCATCCCAGCGCTCTTGGGGTTTCTCTCGGCACTCCTGAGATGATAAAGACAGACCTAGATAAAGAAAAACCTCTAAAGGTTTACACTACATTAAAAAATATATGTAGGCTTGTGAGAGAAAAAAATAACAGGAGGAAATAGAGTAGCTGGTTGTGGTGGCGCATGCCAGTAGGATTTGCTGAAGGAAACAGAGGCAGGCAGATTTCCACAGAGAAACCCTGTCTCGGGAAAAAAGAAACAAAAGAAAGTAAAAATAAAGTAATAAAAAAGCCACATAAAAATGGAAAATACACAAGGAATCTGGATACTATATGCCATATTGTTGTCTTTAAATTGTTTGATTGCCGAGGAAAGACTTACTGCTGCTAAAATACATTTGATTATAAATGCTGCTAAATTAATCCAACTTATACATTTTAAAAATGCTCTGACTTCAAAATTTAAGTCTAAGGACAGGCTACTTAGAAGTAAAGGTTTTGCTTGTATTTCCAAAGAAAATGAAAAGCTGTGGATTCCTTCCAGACTAATATGGTTTGATCAAGCAAGACTCCCTGAAGCTGAAACGATAGAGCCTTACAGACTACAAAAACAAGGACTTGGTCAGATTTCTATGTTTTATCATGATTCCAATGGTATGAACATTGTCCCCAATCGTCAGGAAGCAATTTAGAAAGAACGACGCCCAGATCCCCAAATATTGTTTATAAATGTTTGTTTTCATTCAAATGGAGTTAGTTATAAATGATAATGAGCATAGTCAATCTCTTTTTAAAGAAAGAAAAGGGGAATAGGATATAGGAATGAATACT